TTGTAGAGTTGTAGGAATTTGTTCATCTCCTCTACATTGTTGAACTTGTTTGCATATAGCTGTTTGTAATACTCTCTTGATTTTCGCTGTATCTTTGTGATTTCTCCTCTTTTATTTATGATCCTGCTTAATTTGTGCTTTTTTTTTTTTTTTCTTTCTTTATGAGCCTGGCTAGGGGTTTGTCTACTTTGTTTACTTTTTCAAAGAACTAACTTTTGGTTTCACTGATTTTTTTTTTGAATTGTTTTCCTAACTTCTCTTTCATTTATTTCTGCTTTGACTTTGATTATTTCCTGTCTTCTACTGGCTTTGGCTTATTTTGTTGTTCTTTTTCTAGTTCTAGGTGGGAGATTAGATTGTTTCTTTGTGCTGTTTCTTGTTTCTTGATGTGAGCCTTTATTGCTTGATTCCCTTCATGGTCAGAGAAGATAGTTGGTATGATATCAATCTTATAACTGCTTTTAATGTGTCCCATAAGTTTTGGAGAGTTGTGTGCTCATTGTCATTCTTTTCAAGGTATTTTTTAATTTCTTCTTTGATCTCATTGATGCAGTGGTTCTCCAGTAGTGTAGGTTTCAGTCTACACCAAGTAGATGGGTTTCTTATCTTCTTCACATGGTTTATAGTTAGTTTGATTACTTCATGGGAGAAGATGGTTGGTGGGCTTGCTTGGGTATTTGTGATTTTTCTTCTCTCTGTTGTTTGTTTTTTAATGCTTTCTATGCATTGAGACACAGCGTTGTTTGTGTTGGCGTGCATTAATTCTGGGTATTTCTGCTGGGGTGTTGGAGGGCTGTTATTTATACTGGGTCTGGGTGGTGTCTGCAAGAATTGCCTGGGTGGGATGATTTTCTCTATTGAACTTATAGCTTCTTCAGGGGGTATCTCAGAAGATAATGGAATTAAAAGAGAATAGGAGTGAGATGAGGAGTTAGGGGAAAGAGGAGGGTGATATGGAAAAGTAATAGGAAGGAAGGTGATAGGGGAGGTGAGGATTAGATGGGGGGCATAGGGAAGAAGGAGGGAATGGAGTGGAGGTAACAAAAAGAGCAGAGACAGCAGCAATAATGTTGCAGGGAAGGAAAAAGCTAGAGGAGACAGAAAACTAGGATAAAAATGAGGAAAGGGCACAGAAATCTAGCAACTGAGCAATACAGGAGCAAAACAAACAAATAAGCAACAAATGCATCCATAAGTAGAGGAGAATTGCCTCTCAGAGGTCTGATGGGTCTCAGTTAGCTAATCTTTGTAGTTTTAGGGTGGCTCCTGGGGAGCACCCTATGATTGGGTAGAACACTATCAGAACCTGCAATTTTGTTGGGGTTTCTTTTTAGTTCCCTGAAGTAGTTGGGCAAATAAGGAAGCTCCTGAGGTTTATTTCCACCCTGGGGCCCCTGATATTTAGAGGGTTATAGTGTAAGGGCTGGCCTTAAAAGGCTGCTCCTGATGTCTTTCCCTAAAGCAAGCCACCTGGTTTCAAGTTACTGTGGCTTGTGGTTTTGTTTTGGTCACTAGGTGGCAGCAGAGACTTCTCCCAGTTAATATTCAGAACTGGCTTTATTCATACAGATCTCTGGGAGATCTGAAAGTCTCTCCAGCTAGTCTCCCTGCTAGTCAGTGTCACCCTGTAGTAACACTGCTGCTCCCACTTGTCCACCTGTTGATTTTTTTTTTTTTTGGTAGCTTTTCAGTGTCCAAGATTTCTTCTGTAACCATGCAATGTGGTTTCCAGCCAGCCACAGAGCCACCCGCCAGAATCAGGCTGTGCCAGCCGCTGGCCTTCTCTCTTTACTTCCAGGGCTCTACTCATCAAGCCTATTTGTCTCTATTTACCTTCAGGTTTACTCTCTGGTTGTGTGGGTAGGGGCGGAGAGGTGAGTGAGTATAACAGTAAGTAGCAAGCCTCCCATCTGAGGTACTTCAAAGTTGCTTGGGCATTCCTGGATTAGAGTTCCCCAATTGGAGCTCCCCACTCACTGAGTCTCCTCAGTTATCCTTGATCTAGTGAGTCCAGGGTGCCCTCAGTCAGGCTGATAGTATGCCTTTGGTCCATTTTGAGTTTTATCTGTCTTGTGTGAGCCTCGAGTTAGCGAGTTTAACATCCTCACTCTGCCACCATCTTGCTGGAACCTCGAAAATTTTATTCTTTATTGTCTGCCAGAAGCTGAGAAACCTTTTAGAATAATGTTAGTGTCTTAAACATAAGTAAGTGTAAAGTACAGAATCATGATTTACAGAAAGAATTAGAATGGTAAGATTCACTACTGAGATGCACCATCATGGTTTGAGTGATTCCGTAATTAAACCCTCCCTGTTCCTTACCAAAGTTCAGAATCCCTGGAGATATAAGGCAATGTGTTTTTGAATTAGACATATTTATAAATTTTGACATTGGCATAGCTGAATAAATCAAAGATATGGAGGAATTAAATTTTAACACTTCTAGTGGAACAGAAAACCTAGAAGATTTTGAGCCATGTACATCTTCCTACTCAACTCTAGTCAGAGAAATCATTTACCTTCTGGAGAGTAGAGGTTAATAGTGATGGGAAGTTGCCAAATGCAAAGACAAAATAACAAGTGGACTGTAAGAGAATTCCATCATTAGGAAGCTTGAGGACACTAATAACTGGGTTTTCCACTCTATAATAATTTTATTTTCCAATATGCTACTTTTAAATTGAGCTGTAATTTACATAAATAAAATGTACAGATTTTAATCATACAGTTTAATGAGCTTTGATAAATGTATATTCGTATAATTATTATTCCAATTAATCATTATTCCAATTATTGTAGCTAATTACTTTTTTTTAAAGATTTATTTATTTGTGCATACAGAACTGGGGTACAGGCCAGAGGTTCTAGGGTGGTGAGAGGCTTCACCAGAGACAGAGTGGGGAACAGAACAGGCAGATAGACGAAGTACACTGCTGAGGGGAGCAGCGGGCGGGCCAGGAGAGGTCTGCCGCGCCATGTGGTCACCTCCAGGGCAGGTGGGAATCGAACTCATGCGGAAGCGGCTTCAGATTCTCAATGCTGTGCTTTAACCACTGCGCCACCAGGGAGGGCCACAGCTAATTATTTGTAACAAATACTTTTATAAATTTACTCAGTAAGATTTCTTCAAGTAGTTATCTCTTAGTTCATTTAAAGTGTTTAAAACCCTATTAAGTTTATAAGTTTATAATAACTCTGTCAATAGGTTTGTTTCTAGATGAAGAATTTAATAAACTTTCCATAAAAAGATGTCACATTATTAATAAGTGTGCTATTATTCCCATGGAAAACTGAATTATTATTAATATTTTACCCATTAGAAATCTTTAAAAAGCATTCTATTTAGGTTTTAGTTATAGATTTTTGCTATCATTTGACTAATGCCTTATCTTTTTCCCTATGTTTTGTGATAAGTACTTTTTATTACTTATTTGTTTAAAGATTTATTTATTTATGCTTACAGAACTGGGGGACAGGCCAGAGGTGTGGTGGATGAGAAGATTCATCAGAGACAGAATGGGAAGCAGAACAGGCAGATTGAAAAAGTACAGTGCTGAGGGGAGCAGTGGGACTGGTCAGAAGAGGTCTGCCATGCCATATGGGTCAGCTCCCTGGCCGGGGATCGAACTTGTGCTGCAGTGGATTTGGAGAGCTTTATAATGTGGTGCTTTAACCCATTGCACCACCAGGGAGAGCCCACTTTTTATTACTTTTAATGTGAACTTAAGATATTTTATATTATTTATATGTTGTTTTAGGAAAAAATAAGCTTTAATATTTGACAAAGACTGAACCAAGATTATCTGAGATAAAACCCTACAACTTCTTTGTAGCCTATAGAAGAGATTCAACTGGATATAGTTTTCTTATTCTTTAGAAGAAAATAAGTTTCTCTACTACTTAGTTCCTCTTAAAAGAAAGACTAGTTTTGGCTGTGAAATGATAACCTGTCATTTTAAATAAAGTGTACCTTTAGTATTACTAGAATAGTCATGGGTTGTACTAGTATCAGATGTTAGTATGACTTGATGTGTATTTTTAAACTCATTTTTTTCTGGAAAGTAACATCCCATTTTATGATGGGGTTGCATCATATTTTTAATATTGCCATGTTCTGGCAATGTATAAAACTATTATGATACTTTAAGTAATAGAATACTTAAAATTCTAACACCAGAGACCTCATTGTCACATTGGGGTGTCTGTGAGGTCAAAACTGTTTGCAGATATAGCTCTTGAAAAGTAATAGGACTGTTTTCAATACGTATATGGTTTTGAAATACAGACTTTTAAAAACTATTATATTAATTGATAATAGTTTTATAATTGCTAGATTTAAAGAATGATTCTAAATAAATGTTAAAGCTTTAGTTTTTAATATGTTACCTCTCAATCTGAATAATCAATGTAAAAAAACTTTTTGGGTTATCCCTGAGTAGTTTTTAACAATTTAAAGAGATTTATATGTTTATAGAGAAATCCACATACAATTTAAGAGCTTTATAATCCAAACTGTACATATTTTGACTTAATGTAATGTTCTGAAGTATTCTTCAAATGAAAATGCAGGTTTTGCTTTCATCAGATTATGTATTATTTGTAGGCATATTATTTAGGAACTTTTCTAAACCATTATTTTTATTTTGTCTTTAAAGTGCAACAGAGGAAATTGAAAAAAAAAATATATATATATTAGCAGAGCTATATGAGTTCTTTTTAAATTAACCATGGCTGGTTATTGTGACTGGGCTGATACATTTTGGAACAATCTAAAAGATGTTCATGACAACCTGTGAGATAATCCTGTACCTTTCATTTATCATGACTATTTAACATCTAAGTTAAATGAATATCATTTTATTAAAAAAATTGTAATAGTACATTTTGGAATGTGTATGGTAGTTAACTCATTATTATGGGAACATTTAGCCTGTTAGTGGTACTGTTTACCATGTAACATAATTGTTAGAGAGGTTTCTGATTTTTGTTTTTTCTATTAGCAGATAATCTTAGTGATACCTTGAAGAAACTGAAGATAACAGATGCTGAGAAAACTGAGGATTGTTTAGAAGGATGCTTGGATTGTCTGCTTCAAGCCCTGGCTCAAAATAGTAAGTTTGAAGGCTTCCCTGATGGCCTGGGGGTTAAGCCTCAGTGTTATCACCAGTATGACTTGAATTCTACCCCCACCCAGGAGCTAACCTTCATATGGCACAGTAGACCTCTTCTGTCTCACCCACTGCTCCCGTTTGCAGTGTATTTCAATAAATATTCCTGTTCTGTTGCCCACTCTCTGCTCAGTCCTCTGACCCCTCTGCATCTCTGACCTACACCCCAGTTCTTCTGTGCAAAAATAAAAATACATGAAACAGTAACTTTTATTATATGTACTCAAATGCCAAGCATAAGAAGTCAAGTCAGCAGTCATTCAGAAATTGGCCTAGCGCATAATTGTGTTTATGTTAATTTGAATTCTTTTGAAATCCTGAAATCTATCCCTGAGTTTTGATGTTGCTCTACATGATTCATTGACCTGTGCTACCTTTTCATGTCCAGCCTATGGTAAACAGGCAAAAGAAAGGAGGAATTGATTGGTTGCATTGACATTAATACCAGTTCTAGAGGGGAGACCATTTTCTCTAACAGTAACTGCACAGGCATAGTTCTTTTTCTTAACACACAGATTTGTGCTTAAAATTAAAAAGACTGACTTTATGTGTAGAGACTGGAAGGGATGAGAATAAAACACTAAGTTTGTTTTTCTGGGTTCTAATGGTCACATTTAAAATATTTTTATTGTAAAATAATTCTGCTGTGAAAGAATATGTATCCTTAGATTCAGTTGGAAAGAATCAACAGTCACTCAAAAATCCCTTAAAATTAAGGTAAGACTTGACCACTACTGGTACTTAAATAATAGTAGTAATGAGAATTATGCAAATTTTCATTGAATAACAAGTTGTATTATTTCATTTGATACATATTATATTTACTAGTTTATAATAAATAGATAGACACATGATTTTCTCATTTGTTCTCTTGATTCTACTTGGTAATGCTGTAGTTTATGCCATACTTCTTTTTAATTATGTCATTGTCTTATCCTGGAATTAATCACGAAGCTGACAAAGTATACTTTTAGATAAAGTATATGTTGCTAATAGTTTAATTTTAAGTACTCAGATGTATGTGCTTTCTCGTTTTTAAAAATTTATTTTATTTTGTGCCCTGCTTGGTAATGCAACAGGTTCAAGCACAGCACTAGGAAGCTATCTGTAGCCACTGTAGCAAGAGTTCGATTCCTGACCAGAAGGATGACTCACATGGTGGCATATCTCTCCTGACCAGCCCGCTGCTCCCCTTAGCAGTGTATTTCAGTCATTGTACTTGTTCTGCTCCCCACTTTGTCTCTGGTGAGTTCTCTCACCCCCCACACCTCTGGCCTCTACCCCAGTTCTTGTACACATAAATAAGTAAATATTTAAAAAAATATTTTTTTATATATTTTCTACATAATTTTCATTTTTGTGTAATGTATATTTCCTTTAAAATTCCCACAACCAGTTCACCTGGGTACCATTACCATAGTCCCTTGTGCTCTTCCTACCCATTTTGATCCTGTTCCACTCTAACCCCCTACAGAATGTCCCTGATTTATAGTTGCTTACTTTATTATAGTTATATTTTTCCCCCTGATCCCTTATTTGGATCCTCTATGTTAATCCTAAGAGTGAAATTATCCAGTATTTATCTTTTTCTTTCTGGCTTACTTCGCTGAGCATGATCCCTTTCAGCTCCAACCATGTTGCTACAAATGGCATAGGCTTATCTTTTTGACTACTGAGTAGTATTCCTGTGTGTGTGTGTGTGTGTGTGTATGTGTGTACACACCAGATTGTCTTGATCCAATTGTCTATTTTTGGGCATTTGGATTGTTTTCAGGTTTTACCTGTTGTAGATAGTGCTACAATAAACCTAGGGTATAGGTGTCCTTTTGAGTTAATGTTTTTGTGTCCTTTGGATAAATACCTAAAGCGGAATTACTGGATCATCTGGAAGCTCTATTTTTAGCAGTCTGAGGAACCTCCAAACAGCTTTCCATAGTGCTTGGGCCACTTTGCATTCTCAGCAGCAGTGTAGGAAAGTTCCTTTTTCTCCACATTCTCATTAGCATTTGTTTTTGCTAGTTTTTTAATGAGTGCCACTCTCACTGGTATGAGATGTTATGTCATTGTGGTTTTGATTTGCATTTTTGAATGTATTTTCATATGCCTATTGGCCATTGCAATTCCTCGTTAGAGAAGTTTTTTTTTTAACGTTCTGCCCATATTTTGACTATGTTTTGACTTTTTTTTTTGTTGACTTTTATCAGCTTTCTGTAGATCTTTGTGATCAGTCCCTTATCATTAGTGTTGCATGCAAAAATTTTCCTCCTCTTCAGCAGGCTGTCTTTTCATTTGAATTATGTCTCTTGCTGTACAAAAGGTCTTTAATTGAAGTCCGTGCTGTTTATTCCTGTCCTCATTCCCTTTGCTTTGGGTGATGTGTCTTTAAAGATATCACTGAAGTGTGTGTCATGTAGTATTTTGCCTGTATTTTCTTCTATGTATTTTATGGTTTAAGGTCTTATGTCTAGTGCTCTAACTTATTTTGAGTTGGTTTTTGTGTGTGGTGTGAGGTAGTACTTTAGCTTCATATTTTTACATGTAGCAGCCCAGTTTTCTTAGTGCCACTTATGGAACAGACTTTGTTCCATTACATGTTCTTACCACCTTTGTCAAAGATTAGTTATCCATAAATCTATAGGTTTATTTCTGGGTTTCTGTTTGGTTCCATTGGTCTATGTGTCTGTTTTTGTTCCAGTACTATATGATTCTGATTATTGTGGCTTTCTAGTATAGTTTGAAATCTGGGTGTGTGATACCTCCTTTTCCTTCCTTTTTTAGTCAGGAGAGCTCTCCTTTTTTTTTTTTTTTTTTTTTGTGGTTCCATATGAATTTCATCAGTATTTGTTCTATTTCTTTCAAGAATGCCATTGATAATATATTGGAATAGCATTGAATCTGTAAATTGTCTTTGAAAGGTGGCCATTTTTTATAGTTAGTTCTTATAATCCATGAGCAGAAGATATCTTTCCATTTCTTTGTGTCATTTTCTATGTCTTTTAACAATGTTTAAGAATTTTCTTTGTTTAGGTCCTTTACCTCTTTTGCTATGTTTATTCCCACTTGTTTATTTATTTTGTTTCAGTTATAAAGGGATGGTTTTCATAATTTCTTCATATTTATTGTTTACATATAGGAAGCTGCTGATTTTTGTGTGTTGATTTAGTAAAGTAGTATCCTGCTACTTTACTAAGCTGATTATTTTGATTAGTTTCTCTATGGAGTTTTTGGGGTTCTCTATGTATGTTACCTTCTGCAAGCACTGAAAGTTTTATTTCTTCTTTCCCTGTTTGGATTCCTTATATGTTTTTCTCTTTTCTAATTGCTATAACTAGGACTTTAAAAAAAAAAAAAAAAACAGTGGTGTAGCTGACATACTTATCTTCATCCAGATCTTAAGGAAAAGGCTTTCATCTTTTCTCCAGTGAGAATGACATTGGCAATGGGTTTGTTGTAGATGGCCTTTATTATAATAAGGTATATTACTTCTATCCTGCGATTTTCAATGGGTTTTATCATAAATGGATGTTGAGCTTTGTCGAATGTTTTCTCAGCCTCAGTTGATATGACCATATGTTTTCTTATTTTTCTCTTTTGTTGATGTCTTGAATTACATTAATTGATTTTCATATGTTGAACCATCCTTGTGTCCCTAAATAAATCCTACTTGGTCATGGGAAATTATCTTATTGATGCATTGTTGGATTCTGTTGGTAAAGATTTTATTGAGGATTTTTGTATCAGTGTTCAGTAGAAAGACTGGCCTATTATATTTTTCTTTTTTCCTCATGTCCCTGTTCAATTTTGGTAATTTTGGCTTCACAAAATGTGTTTGGCATTGCCCCTTCCGTCTCAATTTTTTAAAAAGTTTGTGCAGGATAGGCACTAGTTCATTTCTGAACATTTGGTACAATTAATTTGTTAATCTGTCTGGTCCTGGCCTTTTGTTCTTGAGGAGGGTTTTGAGTACTGTTTCAATTTCATTGTTTGTAATTGGTCTGTCTAGATATTTAGATGTCCCTTTTTTTTTTTTTTTAATCTAGCTTTGGGTGATTGTAAAGATGTCTTTTCTATATTGTTTCAGTTGTTTGCATATAACTATTCATAGTACTTTGTTTAATTATTTATTTATTTTTTGGATTTCTTCTGTTTCTGTTGTGATGTCTCATGTTTCATTTATGATCCTGTCTATTTGTATTTTCTCCTGTACTTTGGTTTGTGAATCTGGCTAGAGGATTGTCTATTTTGTTTAGTTTTTTCAAGGAATCAAGTTTGGTTTTCATTGATCTTTTAGTTTTTTTTTTTTTTAACTTTTTAATTTATTTTTGCCTTGACTTTTATTATTTTCTTTCTTCTTTGGTTTTTCGGTTTTCTTGTTGCTCTTTTTCCAGTTCATTAAGATGGGATATTTTGTTGTTGTTTTGAATTCTTGTTTCTTGTTGTGAACTGTATTGCTATATATTCTCTCTTTTTTTTTTTTTTTAAGATTTATTTATTTATTTGTGCATACGGAACTGGGGTACAGGCCAGAGGCTCAGGGGCGGTGAGAGGCTTCACCAGAGACAGAGTGGGGAGCAGAACAGGCAGATCGACGAAGTACACTGCTGAGGGGAGCAGCGGGCGGGTCAGGAGAGGTCTGGCTCGCCATGTGGTCTCCTCCCGGGCAGGCGGCAGGCGGGAATCGAACTCATGCGGAAGTGGCCTCAGATTCTCAGTGCTGTGCTTTAACCTGCTGCGCCACCAGGGAGGGCCATATTCTCCTTTTATATCTGCTTTTGTTGTGCCCCATATGTTCTGGAGAATTTCTTTTCATAATCATTCATCTCAAGGTATTTTGATGCAATGGTCTTCCAGTAGTGCAGGTTTCAATCTACATGAGGTGGGACGGCTGGGATGAGCCTTGACTTCTTCTCATGCTTTATTTCTAGTTTGATGCCTTCCTGGTC